TGAACTTGCACTGCAGTGACTGGCGATAGATAGATAGTGCTATTTTTAATCCCTGCACCAAAGAGAGGCCCTTCTCTCTTTATATTTGTAGCTGGTCCTTCACAGCAGAGGTGAGCGTGAAGTAGATGATGTGTCTAGCACACTACTGGACACTGGCTCTCACTCGATATCTTCCCAATCACCTTACTTTATTATTCTTAGTTCACATAGGAATTGCAATATCTCGTTACACTTACCTGTGGTTTTATTCTGAGAGCTAAAATATATTTTTTTAAAGATTTCTTTATTTATGCATACAAGAGCTGGGGTACAGGCCAGAGATGCGGGGGGTGAGAGGATTCACCAGAGACAAAGTGGGGAGCAGAACAGGCAGACTGAAATACACTGCTGAGGGGAGCAGCAGGCGAGACAGGAGAGGTCTGCCTCATCATGTGGGTTTCTCCCTGGCCAGCCGTGGATCGAACTCATGCTGCAGAGGCTGTAGACTGCTTCATAGTGCGGTGCTTAATCCCTTGCATCACCCGGGAGGCCCTGAGAGCTAGACTATTTTACTGACAAAGCTCAGTGAACCATGAGAACAACTTGTGGATTAATTTAGATTTGAATAGATTAGATTAATTTAGATTTAACTTTGTCTTATATAGATAGAGGCAAACTTAGAAACACTGATAAACCCAGGATTATTGGGTTTATCTCAAATATTGGGTATATTCCAACTATTTTAGAGATATATTTAGGAAATACAAAACCCATTTTTAAAAATAGCGTAACTAGAATGAATCAAAATTCAAAACCCGGTGCATTGACTTCATATTTGTGATTACCCTCTAGTGAATTCAGCCATAAAAGTCCTGAGGGAGTTGAGTCCAAGTCTCAAAGTCAAAAGGAGCCCTATTTATTGATTTGTTCCTGGGATGTGTAGTTATCAGTCACCATGCATTCATCTAATAAGCATTCAAGTAACCCAAACAGGCCATTACATCATTTGGAGGCAGTATGTTAACTTCTAAACGTTTTTGTGATCGCTTTCATAGCGTTATTATCTGCTTACCATATAATTCGGTCACTGAAAGTGTAAACTCAATGGCATTCAGCATGGCCAGAATTGTGCTTATCACCAGCACCAGTTTTCATCACCTCATTTTGCCTGTTGATTTTAATTTGGATTTCTCTGGCAAAGTTGACTTTTCATATTTTTTGTAAAGGATATGCTGGATTTTTTCCACTCAGTGTTTCAAAGGACACATTATGGCACCTTTTGACTATTAATAATTGGCTTACATGTTACCTCAAGTCCTTTTTCTCCACATCCCTGAATAAGCCCCCAGGCTAAGAGGCCAAGTATCTTTCCTGTGGCCGGGGTTCCTCACCTGAGCTGGTCCCAGCAGTACACATCATCCTTTCAGGCCTCAGTAGTCCATGTTCCTCAAATAAACAGAGGCCCCAGTCCCTCGGCACCAGCCCCCACTAAGCACACCAATAAAAATACTCTTCTCCCCCCCGGAAAAAGCCTAGGTTGCTTTCCTACAGGTATGTGAATTTCAGCCTCTGATTTTGGTGCCTGAGTCACCATGAGGTGACAACTGTACATTCTACTGCTGCTATGAAGCCAGATTGGAAGAGATGCTGGGATGGGGGAATCAAGCCCAGGATCAAAAAGACCGTGACTGCGCCCAGATAGCAAGGCCAGCATTAGCTGAATCTATTTTTTAAAAAAGTATAGTTTTCTTTTTTTCTTTTTAAAGTATTTATTTTTTTGCATAGAAGAACTGGGGGGTAGGCCAGACAGAGGTGTGGCGGGGTGAGAGGATTCACCAGAGACAGTGGGGAGCAGAACAGGCAGATCTACTGAAATCCACTGCTGAGTGGGGCAGCCAGCAGGACAGGACAGGTCTGCCGCGCCATGTGGTTTGCTCCCTGGCCGGGGATCAAGCTGGTGCTGCAGTGGCTGTGGACAGCTTCATAGTGCTGCATCTTAACCACTTGCGCCACCAGGGAGGCCCCATATTTTACAATTCTGCAGCCTGACATGTCAGCCACTAGTCTCAAGTGATTACATTTAAATGAGTACAATTAAAAAAAGAAAATGGTTCCTTTGTTATATTATGTCCTTATTTCAGATGCTCAGTTGCTACATTTGGTTAGCGGCTAAGTTACTGGACAGCAGAAAACTACAGAACAATTTCCTCCTTATGGCACTTTCTGCAGGACAAGCTAGGACTACAGAATATTTCCACCCTCACAGAATGTCCTGTGGGCAGGACAGAACTAGAGAACATTCTGACCACACAGTTGATCGGCTGTATGGTGCTGCTGTAGTCCATGTCTCTGTCACTCAGGGGTTACGAACATCTCCCGTTCTATAGCTGTCCATTAGTTCTTTTTTGTGGTGCCTTTAGATGAACAAATGTTCTTGAATTTAATCCATCTTTTCCTTTTCATTTAGGGCTTTGTTTCTTTAGAGATTTCTTCCTATCCCAAGGTCATAGCATAATCTTTTAAATGCTTTATATTTAGGTCTTTAATTTTCTTGATTTTTTTTTTTTTTTTTTTTTTTGTGGGACCCTCGCCGGCGGCTGGGGAACGAACCGCCGCTGCAGAGGCTGCAGGCAACCTCGCAGCCCAGTGCTCAACCGCTGCGCCACCAGGGGAGGCCCAATTTTCTTGATTTTTTTGCTTACAGAAAGGTAGGGGTCCAATTTCATTTCCCCCCTATAAATAGCCAGTTGTCATAGCACTGTAGTAGAGTCTGTCCTTCCTCCACCATGTCATCTCTCAAAAATGAAGTGTCCATACCTAATATTTCTATTACCTTTCCACCTCCCAATCCACTCCATTTCTATCACTCAATCCTAACTGCTAATTTTGATTGCCAACCACCTCTCACCGTGTCTAATGGCTGTTCTCTAATCTTTATCTTGTTTGAGTTTTCATAGCATCAGCACAGATGACCAGTCCACTAAGCTATTGGGACACCATTCCCTCCTGTTTTTCTTTGCTACCTCTTCCACCTTTCAGACCTGTCAAAGTGAGAGAACTTCAAGGCATGGTCCTAAACCCTCCCTTCTTCTTACTCTATGCTCTTATTCTTGGTAATTACATATTTGCAACATTTCATAGTCTAGCTATACACCAATGATGCATGCCCTTGTCAGGGGCTGTTCACCGATGGGCAGGCCTAATCCAAATTGGAGAGGTTTGATGGGGTTTCTGGAAATATTTTTTCCTTGCTCTTAAGAGTGAAGAATGAAAAGTAAGGCTCACATTCCCAACAGACATGAATGAGGGGTATCTGGCCCTCATTGCTGCTGTACCCCTGTAATAATCATGGGAAAGGCCAGCCTGTGCTAGTTAACCACAAGGAAGAGAGCGGAGCTGCAGAGGTAGTCCAAGTGAGCTGCACAAGAAACCCATGTGATGCCCACTCTCTGTTACATGAACAAATAATTTCCTTATTTTTTAAACCACCTGGAGTCAGATTTCTGTCCCTCATAGTGGAAAGCACGCTCATGAATACAACTACTAAACAAACATGACAAGCCAGTCTACATAGGAATGCTCTCAGCATGTTTGTGGAATGCCTATCAGGTATCTTTACTTGGTTCTCTTATAAACTCAGAAGCTAAAACCAAACTCTTAATCTTTCCCCCCAAATCTCCACTTCCTCTAGTATTTTCTTTACAGTAAATGGCAACCCTATCTAGTCAAGTGTTCCTGCCAGAAACATGTGGGTCATCCATGATTCCTTTCTTTTCTCCCACTCAACCCAATACAAAGACCGGCCAAATCCATCACTAAAATACTCATCGGATCCATCCACTTCTCTCCATTTCTTCTGCAGTCATTGTAGCCTGTATTGCCCTTGACTACCCCCTGGATGACTGCAGTGATCTTAGTTGACCTTACCATCTCTCCCACCTCCAATCTATGTTCCTGACAGCTGCCAGTGACTGCTTTATAATCAGTATTTATTTTCTGGAGTGCAGTAGTGAAAAGAACAGACTGTGGAGTAGTATGGGCAAACTAGGTATCTATCACTACACACAAAATTACCCCAAACCTTAGTAGCTTGAAATATTTAATGTTTCTGAGAGTTGGGTATGCAGGCCAACTTGGCTGGATGCCTCTGCCTCAGGGTCTATCAGGAGGCTGCAATAAAGGTGTCAACCAGGGTTGCAGTGGTTTGGAAAGCTTGACAGGAGCAAGATCCAAACTCACTCATATGGGAGTTGGCAGGATTCAGGGTTTCATAGGATATTGGGATATGGTTTGAAGTTACTTTCAATTCATTGCCCTGAGGGTCATTCCAGTTGCCCACATAGGCAGTTGACTTTCATCATTCATTCATTTGTGCCCAGCAGTGCTTAGCACAGATTGTGTTTCTCAGTTATCCTGATAAAGTAGATGCACTGTAAATGCATCTATGTCCTCCTGTTGCCAGGAACACTCTGGTGGAAATTGAACTGTATCACTTCCCTATTCTATACACCCTTCAACGGCTTCCATCCCAACTGGGATAAAAGCCGGACTCCTGACAATACCCAAAGGCTCGCCAAATGTCCAACCTCCTGTCACACTGCCCTGTTTGATACTCACATTTCCTCAGCCCCATCAAATATCTTTGGGTTCTTTCCAATTTGAGGGTCTGGAGTGTTATTTTTTGAACTCTGGTTAAATCCTACTTACCCTCCAGAGTGGAACTTACTTATTATCAAGTAAGCCTATCCTTGAATGCTTTATCTAGTAGATCATCAGGTATATTCTTTCATAACATCCAGTACAGCACACACTGTAGTTTGAAGTTATATATTTGTGGTCTATGTGATTAATTCCTATCTCCCTCTCTAAACTATAAACCCATCCCAGGGACATCTCATTTTACTTTCCACCACATTCACAATGTCAGATCACAATAGGAAACTCATACTTTATACTTAATATAAAAATATTACTTTTAGGAATTTCTTCTATCATAGTGGTCCTAAAAAGGATCTAACCGAAAGGAAGCATTTGCATTCCTTAAATTCTATGACGATTTTTGTTTTACCACAAAGCAGTTTCAGTCATTTGGCTGCCATGATGTGGGTACACACTTTTCTAAAACATGCAACTGAAAGACAAGTTGAAGTACAGACTAATCTTTTAATCCATATACTTAAATATCAATCTGGGCAATAGAAAAATTAGAAGCCTACATATGCAATACATTTTCTTTATACAACCAAGACACTTTAAATACACGAGTAAAACAAGTGAAAATCTAATCATATCCTCAGAAGATTAACTTTGAATATAAAAGCTTTCAATTTCATCTCTATTCATTACTTTCCTTTATCTACTGTTAAATTAAAATTATAGTCCGATTTTTCTGAGTCTGCAAGTCTAAGAAATCCCACTTTACCTCACACATATCACAGGGATTTATTATTGTTCTGAATAGCTGAGTATTCTGAAATTTCTTTTAGCCACATAATGTTGAAGCTTGTTCTTACTGCCAGCTCCTGATCCTGCTTGTTTCTGATTTCTTCAGTAAAGGGAAGCACAAGTCTTACAACTATTGCCAGCTTCACTCTTCACCTGGTCTTGTGTGAATGAAGGAAGACAACATGGATAAGAGCAGGAACCCTGGAGCCAGACTGTCTGGGTCAAATTCTTGTTGTGCCTGTTAGACTGTGTGATCCTTTGGCAAGAACCACCAGTGCCTCAGGTTCCTCATCAATAAAATGAGGATAAAAATGGTGCTTATCCTCAGAGGGTTGTTATACAGATAAAATAATTTTCATAAAGCTCTTGGAGTGTCTTCGGGCAGAAAGCACTATATACATGCTTGTTAAATGGTTTATTTATCTTTATATTTCCATTTTAGAGAGTCAAAAATTTTTTTCTCTACTATTTTCAGGGATATACACTCCATCTAGAAATTGAAGATTCAGAATTTAGATCTTAATTAACATATGCAAGACTTGTGGCTATCCCATGTTGGGTGTGGATAGATAAACAGTTTTTCTGGGCTTTAGTCCTTCCTATGCACTTCACAGGATGGCTTTGAAGATAAAACAATGCAAGAGACAAACGTGAAGAGTGTAACCATGTTTTTATGCACCCTTGTGGATATAAACATACAGACATACCCTTTATATTTCTAAGATTTGGGGGGAAGTTGTAAGAGGCATTCTACAAAGTTAAATTACCCCACATTAAAATCAGTTCACAAAAGGTAGAAAAGGGCCAAATATGCAGATAATTACGAACTTCAACTGAAATCACAAAGTATATACATGATCGGTAATGTGAAAATTGACCAACCTAATACATTTTTGTGTTTAATTAAAGAAATTCTGCATTATAAGACAGACACAAAAACCTTTGAAATCATCCTAAGTCAGTGGTATTTTCACATCTGAGAGTGATAACTCAACTTTAGAGGTTTCATAGTTTCTAGCAATATATCACACAATCTAAGAGTTCACTTATTACAGAGAAGAACACATTTGATTCTAGGCTTTACTTGCAGACCACATGGAAGGTAATGTCATCTGGCTAAACTGCAAAAGAGATCCTTCTTACAATGTCTCAAATATTAGTATTTTTATGAATAAGAAACACTTTCCATCCATTAGCATCTCAGGCTCAAGTAAAAAACATTATTTTGGCATAGAATTCTACAGTTTTCCTATTTAATTCCCTGATAATTCTTGGGGTCCTTGCCAGTAAGTCATGTTTTGAAGTATACTTTTAAAGTTTTGGCACCACTTCATCTCTGAATGAGTCCTTTATCTGGAATTGTTAAATAAATAGAGCTAATTAAATAACACAGTTCTTATGCCCCTTACATGGGGTCTTTAAAGAAAATTGGAAGATCTTCCCAAAGAACTCTAGAGGGTAAATTATATGTTGTCTTGGTCAGCAGAGATCTTGGTGATCTTGGATGTATAAATAGTATTAAATACCATCAGTGACCCTCATAGTTGCCAAGAGGAATCGTAATGCAAAGCAAGCTGAACAGCACACAAGATTGGGAAGAATGCACCTCTGTTGGGGCTAGCCTGGCCTATATCACTGGCTATTATCCTGAAGACAGGTGAGCTGCTTGTCCCCAGGACAGAACATACACCTGCCTGTCCTCACAGTTTAAATGAGATGCCAACACTTTTTTTCTTTGAAACTAAATACATTTTAATAGAAAACAAAATACAAAATAACTCTTTTCAGAAAACAGAAATATTTAATCCTTTTGCACAAATTAGAACTTGCTTTATCCTTAAAGCATAGTTTTATATGTGTGCGTAGGTACTTACAATTTGCTTCACAAAGTGTTCATTATACTGCTATTGCAACGCAGGAGGCGGGAGTAGATGATCTCAGGAGAAAAAGATGTGGAAAAAGTCACACCTCTGAATAAATTCTCATTTAGAAATTCAATAGTCTCTAATTCTATCTTGTGATTTGTCATTTTCAATTATTTTCATTTCTTTATCATAATCTGTCCTTTCAGGGGAGAGAACTGTTAATAGCCATGAAAAGAATCTCTTTCCCACCATCACTGCAAGAGCCCAAGACTTTCTCAGTCAAATCCACCCACCCACTTCCAGAAACATGTCAGTCAGAGTGATCAATCTGTCACCCAGGAATTTTCCCTTTCTCCCAATACACTGTGCTACCAGATTCTCTGAATTCCCTGAACCTCAAAATTCCAAGTATCACAGCCAGTGCCAGGAGTCAAACCTGAAAGATGAGAGCAGAGAAGGCACCCTCTGCCAGTGCTAGGTTTCCTTTTCTCAATAATAATAATAATAATTATAATTATAATAACAATAATAAAAAAAATCCTGGTTCTCTGTAATTATGGAAAGACTTTGCCAGGACCATCCCGCCCCCTTTCCTGTTCCCACCCCTGCATTCCTCCACCAGTAAGGCTTCCCTGCTGCCGAGTGACGACTGTGAGCTGCCGGGACCACACGCAGTACTCGGTGAGGCAAGCAGCGCTGCGGTGTAACGAACAGGACATGAGACAGAGATGTGCAGGTGCCTGTGTAGGATGCAGCGGGGTCTTTGTAAGCACTCGCCGTCTCACCTCCAGAGCATCTTAATTCTTTGACCTCATGTCCTTTTGTCACCGCCTCCCTCAGTCCCTGTCCTCGGACATTTGGGGGGAGAGTGAAGGGGAGACATGCTCAGATGTCTGCACAGGAGGAGAAGGAGAGGCGGGGAGTCTTTCACAGTCCGTCAGTGATTCAATTTCAGTCTGTCATAAGACTTGCAATCTGGAGGCCTTTCACCAGCACCCCAGTCCGTAAAAACAAAGATTAAAAAAATTAATGTTCCTGATTTTCTTGCGTGATTCCCGTCACGAGGAGGAGGTTACAGGCCATGAACTGCACGCTCAGTACATTGCTCATCTGCCCAGTATATACACCCACGAGTTCGCTGGAGGAGCCATCGGCAGGTGCGCTGCAGTACGAGTTCCTAATGTCCCAGACGCGCACGGAGTTGTCCATGGACGCGGATGCGATTAAACTACTGTCTGGACTGAAGGTGAGGCTGGTGATATTGTCCGTGTGGCCTCTCAATTCCTTATAAAGGGTCCCAGAGGCCAAGTCCCAAAGCTTCAACCGCTGGTCCTCGCCAGCTGATGCCAGGTACTTACCGTTGGGAGAAAAGGCAAGTGAGAGCACGGGGCCGCGGTGGCCTGTGAAGAGCCTCACTGAGTTCCCCTGCTGAGCACTCCACAGCCGGACAGTCTTGTCAGTCGAGCCTGTGGCTAAGTAGTTAGAATTAGGGTGGAATTTGACACAGTCCACATCTGCCAAGTGTCCTGCATATATTCTCAGCGGGTACGTCCGATCGAATGACCATAGCCTCGCAGTGCGGTCGTGAGACCCGCTGGCGAAGTACAGGCTATATGGGCTGATGTCCAGGTCCCATACCGGGTAGGCATGTCCTTGGTACAACACAGTGTTGGTGAAAGTCCCGAGGTCCCAGTACCGAATGGACATGTCTTCGGAACAAGAGAGCAACCCTGAGCTGTCCGCGAGGAACCTCGTGCTGTACACTGGTCCACAGTGTCCCCGCAGGATCTTCATCTCTGTGCCCGCACTATTATCCTCATCATCCTGGCAGAGTTGGGTGGGGCGGCAAAGGAGACACACAAGAAAAAAATAAATTATTTAGTCATCTGCTATGGGAAACAAAAGGAGGGGGAAAAAAGATGCAGCTTGAGAAACAGCATCTGCCCTGTAAAGGAAGAGTGGTCTTGCCCGGGTGAGCAGCCCAGGAAAACAACTCAGGCTGATTCGAGTCCCTTTGCAATTTAATTTCTTTCCTTAAATCCAGCTTGCAATTAAGACTACAGCAAATCAAAAGATATGATTATTATTACAGAGCTATGACTGAGGATCTTATTCTTGTGTTGAGATTTACTTTTTAATTTATGTTAAGTGCTTAGATTTCTTTTATTCAGTGGGCCTGTTTCACCTGTCAGTTATGGTTGCTTTATAAACCATATTGCTCCCTGCTGCTAGTCCATTAAGAAAAATTCTGACATGTTTATTATGCCCATGACTGGGGTCAATGATGAAGGCAGATGTGGTCTCATTTCAAGATTAGTAGTAAACCACTGTAGCAATTTTGCCAAAATAAAACCTGGACATAGGAATTAATAGTAAGCCAGGAAGGTGCAGATAAACAAGTTACACAGGGTGATGAGCCATAAATTGCTGGTGTCCAAAAACAAATAAAGATGAGGCTTTAAAATGATGACTTTCTGGAGGGTCTCAAACATTGTTCCAAAGTAAATTCAATTCTGAACTCAGAATTTCTTGAACAAAGCCAAGTGGCTCATGAGGTTCTTGGAAATAAATTCCTGTGTGTTGGGTAATTAAAGAAGAGCAGCCGGTAATGGCACTGGGGGAGAAAGTCCCCCCTTCCCTCATCCTATTTCCCACAACGATACTATCTGTATTGAAAATCCATTTTTCCCCTCATTCTCTCATAATCAAGTTCCTTAAAACTAGAGCTGTCTCTAGCCTGGAACTCATAAATTAGAATGGGTTAATTAAACACTAGAAGCAAGTAGAATAAGATGAAAACTTTTGAACCAATTTGCTTTATGGGCTTGGAAGTAAATATTGAGTCTTAGGTTCTTGCAAAGGAAAGGGCATCCTTCTAATTTCTATTAATTATTATATTCAAGGCTAAACTGAACACCTCCAGTATATACATGTTTGAGAGTTAAAATAGTGATGTCCATAAATTTTCAAAATGGCTATTCCAGACACTCAACATTAAAAATACATAAGCATTTGGGAGTTTAAGGTTCTACTGAGTGTTATCAAGAATATTAGTAATTTTCTTTTCCAAAGGGGGTTACAACAACACTTTAAAATTCAAGAATGAGGGCCTCCCTGGTGGCGCAGCGGTTGAGCGCTGGGTTGTGAGGCTGCCCGCAGTCTCTGCAGCGCCGGTTCGATCCCCGGCTGCTCCCCGGCCACTGGAGGAGGGTCCCACATGGCGCGCAGACCTCTCCTGCCGCCCGCTGCTCCCCTCAGCAGTGTACTTTGGTCTTTCTGGCTGCTCTGCTCCCCGCTCTGTCTCTGGTGAATTTGCTCACCCTCCCGCGCTTCTGACTGTACCCAGTGGTTGTATAAATAAATAAATCTTAAATAAATAAATAAATAAATCTTTAAAAAAAAAAAATTCAAGAATGACTTATTGCTGCTCTACATCAGAAAGTTTATATAAGAACTATGGGCACAAAAAACGACCCCAGATGAATTATACAAGATCCTTTGAAGGTTAACTGTGAATCAGAGAGCCGGTACTATCTCTGAGGCTTAAGTGGTCTTCTTTTGGAGCAAGAAGTTATGGAAGTGGATCTTCACCACTTCAGTGGGGACATAAAGAGTGATGAAGAGAGGAGGGTGCACCCTAGTGCAAGCCAGCACTTCCCGGTGGTCTTGATGACTGTCTCAAGCTTGTGGAAAGGAGCCTGGTTGATCCTGTAGACCAAGAAATGGGGAAACCAAAATGTTCCGCTGGCTATCACTATCAGTTCTTGCCAGGACCACAGCTTAAAATAACCCAGCCACATTTTCTTCTGTGGCTTAACCTAGTCCCTCAAGGCCCCAAAGCACAGTCGAGTTGAAACCCTGACCCAGCAGCTGATTCATATGAACCCCATCCACAGATTCTCTCTCTTCTTCCTCTCATGTGAACAGGAAAATTTTAACATATAAAGTCTATTTGTGTAGCAATATGTTATATTATATACATTATACAGCATGCATAATATAAAAATGGAATATATACAGAACTTCAAATATTGTTTTATGCATCTTTGAGCTGTAGTTTACAGACCCCTGCTTTAGACCATGGAGTCCCTAAAATTCCTAGACTTGTTATGGCTGTCTATCCCTGGACTAGGATGTTCTAAGTGCTTCCTTCAGCTCACACTCCAGTCTTTTCTAGATTAGGGATACTTTTTGGGATCTGAAATTCAGCCTTGGCTGTTCTGTCACTAGTTGTGAACAGAACCAAAAAGAATCTAACATGGCTGGGCTTACTGAATACTATTAACATTGACTTCGCTCCTTTTCAAACTTAAAGATTACCAGATTGGGAAAGAATCACTAGACATTAAATGGACTGAATGTTGGTGCTGGATTGCTGGGCTAGGGGGCAGGTGGCAGCTTGTAATGAAGGCGGGGATGGACATGGCACTGAAAGCAGCAAACCCTTGATTTGTTATCTGTGGTTTTGCTAGGTCGTGCAATTATGAAAAAAAAAAAAAAAAAAAAAAAAAAAAAAAAACAGTTACAAATCAACAAGAACAAGTTAGATCTTAGCTCTATCTGCATTTTGTATGGGAGGAAGGATGAAGAATGTGGGCCTCACTCTCCACTTTGAGTGTCTGTGGCAGGAGGAGGGGAGCAAGGGGTGACACAAGGAGTACTGCTATACCAACTGACAGACTTTCAAGGTCGATCTAGATTATCTTCAAGCTGGAGATAACAGAAGCTACAGAGTGGTGCTGTTAATCCAGTTTTATTTGGCAAAAATAATAGAGAAAAATTTATGCTTACATAGGACCTTTAGGTTACTGTTTTTTTAAAAATAAGATAATTCACATACTAAGTTCACTCTTTTAATGTATAGAATTCCATGCTTTTGAGCATATTCAGAGTTGTGCGACTATTGCCACCATTTAGTACAGAATGTTTTTATTACCTCAAAAAGAAGCCCTGCACTAAGTAGTTGTTACTCCCCATATCCCTGTCCCCAGCCCCCGGCAACCACTAATCAACTGTCCACCTCTACAGATATGCCTATTCTGGATATTTCCTATACATGGGAAATACATGTTCTAAACAACATTTGGTCCAAACAGCTTCTTTTACTTATCATAAAGTTTACAAGGTTCACCCAACATTATAGCATGTACCATGTTATGTATCCCCATTGCTTTTCATGACTGAGCAATATTCCGTTGTATAGTTATAACACATTAACAGCTGATGAGCATTTGGAATGTTTCCACTTTTTGGTTATTATGAACAGTGCTGCTGTGAGCATTTGCATGTATGTTTCTGTGTGAAAGTACGTTTTCAGTTCTCTTATGCATATGCTTAGAATGAAAATTGTTGGGTCTGATCATAATTTGAATAGCTACTATTATATTATTTTATCTACTAACAAGACATTTTATCATCTAACAGTTATTACTTCAGAAAGATTAACGTAGAGATTGCAAGTTGGCCTTTTAATTTGGTTTACAAGGTGTTTTCTTACTTCCTACCATCTTTTTGATCCAGGTGCCTTCACCATTTACTTTTTTACTTGCTTGGCTTCTACAGGTATGTGAGTTTGCGACTTCTGCATTAAGTTTTAAATTTAATTGTGAATTCCGCAAGGAAACAAGGAAGTCTAATTCTCACTGAAGAAACATTAAAAACCTTTTACCAGAACTACTTTATACTTTGGGAACTCTCTCCCAAAATGTTCTTTGTTAGAAACCAAAAAGAAAACTTCCCCAAACTGCTGTGACAAAATGGGGGAGAGAGGTGAGGATGCAGAAATATCCAAAACCGAAAACCCCTCAATGTAATAAGAGGATTTTGACTTTAGTTCTAAAGTCAAAAACTGAAACAAAAACCATACTTTCTCTCAAGGAAAGTAGAGGCTAGAAGCTATAATACCTTTAATATGAATAATGATGAATAAACCAAAAGATACTTAAACAACCATTGCTCTGATGTCTTGCTCCCCTTGGGGTAGACAGTACCTCTTACCCAGCTGTTCAAGCCTTAGATAAAGGTCATCTGCAATGCTTTCTTATCCTTGGCCCCTACAGTAATCTAGTAAGTTGTCTAGTCCACCCAGCCTGTTCCTCTTCCATTGCCATTACCTTAGTTCAGGCTGCCATGATCTCTTACAGAGGCTGCGCCATAATGTTTCCTGCCTTACTCTCCACGCATAGCCCCATCTCGAGCCATATTTAATTTCTTTCACTTTCTGAAATTTGTCATGTTATTCTTCACTTCTGGACCTTCAAATATGTACCTTCTGAAGCCTGGAAACTTTCATAGAACAAGTCACAGAGCTAGCTTTCAGTGGTAACCAGAATCTCATTTTTTTAAAATTTTAGTCTAATGTCCTTTTCATTTTTGTATTTACCTTTCCATATTTCTTTATGTTAATTTTTAATGCTCAGAATAAACACATTCAGGATCATCAATGTTAGTAAGGTCATAGTTTTTTTTATTTACAAAAAACTGAAAATAAATGAGGGCAATATCTCTCAGCTATATGTGAAGATACCCTAGAACTGTCTCCAAGGAAGACAGAAATTTGATAATTTTTTTTTTATATATTTTTTTTTTATAGAGGCATGTTTTATTTATTTGTTTGTTTGTTTGTTTTTGTTTTATACATGCACTGGGTACAGTCAGAAGCGCGGGAGGGTGAGAGAATTCACCAGAGCCAGAGCGGGGAGCAGAGCAGGCAGAAGGACCGAAGTACACTGCTGAGGGGAGCAGCGGGCGGCAGGAGAGGTCTGCGCACCATGTGGGACCCTCCTCCAGTGGCTGGGGAGCAGCCGGGGATCGAACCGGCGCCGCTGAGGCCGCGGGCAGCTTCGCAACCCAGCGCTCAACCGCTGCGCCACCGGGGAGGCCCAGAAATTTGATAATTTAAATACATGTGTAATGAAAAAAATTTTGGAGGGTACTATAAAAATCTAAAAATTAAAGCTTATACTTTAGAATTTCAGCTCTTATCATAACAAGGTCCTTTAATTATATTATCTCTGTTGCAAGAAATAAAAATTCAAAGGTGACTCAGAAAACAGGATATGAAAAGGAGGGCTTTATGCATCCAATATTCCTGATATCCTTATCAGCAACTATAAATCAAGTGGTTTTTTTATTCCATAATTTCTTAATTTTTCAATGCTGAGCAAAATATTTTCCATCCAATGTAAGTTGAGGCAAGTCTCTTGAATTTCAGGGGTCACATGACAAAAATGTTCTTGCCCACAAATTTTGTGGGGCCACTATCAGAGGAAGTAAACGGAGAAGTTTAATTTCCAGCTCCCTCTGCAACATGTTTCTAAGGCAGCGGTTCCTGGTGGCCTAAAATGGTGGCTCTCTTGGCCTGCCTTTTTCAACGCCCATCCCCAAATAAAACAAACTAGAGTTACACTGACTGATGGATCAAACGTCAACTATATTTGCTGTGTATTTTTTAAAGTGGAGGTCCAGGACACCCCAGGGCACATGAAACCAAAGGACTTGTGTTAGTCTCAGAAAAGCTGACAACACTCAGTGTTGGTGGGGGTAGAGAAATCAGTGTTTTATCTCTGATGAAACTATAAAGTGGCACAACTTTCTGTGGGGAAAGTGATATTAATTTTTATGATGTAAAATGCAAGTCTTTGACTCAGTAATGATCCTAAAGTGATCCAGGAAAGTGACCCTACGTCTGTTGCTACTTGCATGAATCACACACACATACACACACACACCCCCTCTCACTGTAAATCTCAGTGTCAGCTAAAGGTCTTTAATCAGGCTTAGCAATGCTACCCACATTTCAGATGCTAATAAATACTGAGCAGTCACTAATAATATTCAGTTAGTATTTTAAAAATAGTTTTTATCTCTTCCAAGGCTAGGCATGAACAAGTACTCAATGACTACAGGTTATATGAAACTAGCTTGGCTTCAGTTATATGGTAAGAGAAATAATGAAGTCCATTCTCTGTTAAGACCTGTCATGTCTGGTAATGTTATTCTAAGCAAATTAATAAGGCAGGTGTAGGGAAGAAAAAATGATATTCATACCTCCTCCTCCAGAATATCACAAGCCAAGTGGATGCGGGACACGTCGACTTGATGGGGTTCTGATTTTAACTTCTTAGATCGTAAACTCCACAATTTTATACAGGAGTTGTCAAACCCAGCAGCAAGCAGCTTGCTGTCTGGGGAGATTTCTGCAGTGTTCAACAGCTGCTCTGTGTTATAGAAGGCATAGAAACAGATGGTAGTGAGGGAGGGTGGGCCATCCTTGACGCGCTTAATGCTTTCCTGCAAGACCTCCAGGGCAGCCTCGTTCTGCAGAATAGGGGTGGGCATGTCAGTGGGCTCTAAGCCGTTGCCCTCACTTCGTGAGGAGCTGCCACTGGCATAGAGTTGATAGTCTGTTCTCTTGGCAGGCTGCACGTCAAGATGGATATGCAAGGTGAGGATTTTGCACAGGGCGGTGTTGTTGTCACTTTGGAGGTAGCGGATAAGGTAGTTGTAGCTGTCTTCTTGGAGACGGACCACGTACTTGTTATCTAGGAATGCTCGAAGCTTGAAGTTAGACAGGATGTCCTGGATGGTTTGAGTGGTCTGTAGCTGCTCAATGACATCCTTCTGGCTAGCATTCTGCAGAAACATTCCATGGAAGCGGCTGTAAAAACTTTCCACTGTGCTCTTGGGACTGTTCTGGACCAGGTTGAGATGGAGGTAGACAAAGAGAGGATAGAGGAGAGGCATCACTTCGTGGCTATGCTGGGAATCAGAATCTATAATAAAAAAAAAGCGAGGGCTTTATAATCAGTTTAATCTCAAAGAACAATGTGACCTTCCTGGGGGACCTAACATCACATCACACTTTGTTGGGACCTATTTTCTGAGGCTATTCATGGAGAAGTCTGGAAACTCAAAGTCCAAACCTTTTGACTAAAGGAGGAAGGGCTTCATGCCCTTCCTGAAGTCTGGCAAACTCTGAAGTCTGGCAAACCTGGGCTTGAAGCTAGCCACAAATCAGGAATTTGATGCCCAGAAAGGTTAAGTGACTTGCCCAAGTTTTCATAATTCAGTAGCTTGTACTCAGGTTGTCAAGGTTTAGTATTTTTTTCCAATACATTAGTGCTTCTCAATTGTGTCTCTCAGACCTCTGTGGGTCTTTAGATGTATTCTTAGGAGACTGAGTTCTTCATAGAAACTTTTAAACTTGATAATTTAAAACAACAGTCAGTACAAGTATATTCAGAATTATCTGGGTGGTCTCTTTAGCAAGTAAGTATAGACATGCAATTTCAGTGCTCTGTTTCTTTTCGGTTTCCATTAGCTATAGTAATATCAAACTACTTTTTTTTAGTGGGTCCATTAACATGTCTGGCTACGTAGGCCTGCATGTTCTAATGCTCAGGTGACAACATTCATTCATAATTGCTCTGTATCTGTCAGTGTACTCACTGTGATTTTCTCTGTTAAAAGGTGAAAATTCTCTTTTGCAGTGATAATTTACAACGGAGACATTTTCATGTCATTAGGCATAAACCATTTACTAATTTGAGCTTTTGATACCACAAAATGATGTGACAAAAAAAGTTTAATGGCATGGCTAATGAGGAAAGCACAGAGTTGTATCTGACACCTAACTAGGGAGGGCAGAGAGTGAGCTGTGAGGGGCAAAGGCTTTCCAATCACTCATTCAGAGAGCACTCTGGGGCACAAGCAGCTCAGGGAAGGCATGAAAATGACCTGTGTCATAGCCATCGGGATCATCCCTCTGCCCATTTGGAACAGCAAGTTAGTTCTGGCAAAACCCATTTGTTACTGTTACTACAAATTTGAACTTAACTGCTTTTGTGGTTCTGCTTGCACCTGATTTGTAAATGAGTTTAGATTTCATAAAGATATACAGTAAACAGAGGTTTTGTGCATAGTGTAATGTTTGTAAATATTTAGATGAATATAAAAATGATTCACATCAGCACTCAGCACTTTTTTGTGTTTGAAAAGGAACCCAGACATGGTTTAAGACTCAGGAATACTGCACTAGGGAATCCTGCCTCCCTAATTCAATGACACATGACACTAGCATGTTCTAATACCCTGTTCCTACTTTACTAAGGTGAATTAATTGCATAATATGGACATTTTAGAATAAATGCATCTACTCATATACTTAGAAGAGGACCTTAAATTACAACAATGATTCCACTAAACTGGAAGTTAGGACTGGTACTTTGCGCTCTTCATGCCTTTGAATAAACAGGCTAAGAAGGGAGTTACTATTCTAGCTGCAGTGACTGATTCTGACCAGAGGGGAAACTGGACTGCTACTCCATAGTGGAGGTGAGAAAGAGCAGGTCTACAACACAGGTGATCCCTTGGGGCTTCTCTTAACATGATCATGCTCTGTGATTAAGGTTAATGGCAAATGATAATCCAATCTAGGTAGGACGAGTGCCAGGCCCTTTGGGAATGAAGGCTTGGGTCACCTGCCAATAAAGAACCAGACCTGTGGAGGAGCTTGCTGAAGGCAAAAGGAATACAGAATGGGGAGTGGGAGAAGGAAGTTAGCGATCAACTCTGATTATGTGACCAGTTACAGAAATGTGGACAGTAACAGTTATGAAAATCCCTCCTTATTTTGTTTCTGCATATGTGTATAACTGTATTAGTTTTCTTTTCTCTCTTATCTCCTTATCATGTAACATAAGTTACACTGACTTTATAAATAGTATTTCCCTCCATAACGCAGATGGCTCTCAACCCACTCAGATGAAAACCTCAAGAAAACCAAGACTGACCTCCCTGGAAGAAGATAGAATTCTGCCATGCAATTGCTTTTGGATGTGAACTGCTACACTTCCCCAGTCTGGCCTGCTGGCCCGCCCTGCAGATTGTGGACCTGCTAGTCTTCTAGATGTCTTTATCCTGTTGGTTTTGTTTCTCTGAAGAACCCTAACACTAATTTGATATTTCTTTAGATACTGTAATTCTTTAGAAGAACTAAAAAATATCTCTAACACCAATTAAAAAAACTAAAGATTCAATTTTTAACAGTTAGACTGCCAATATATTTTTTGCTGGGATGAAGGATTGTTTTCAATTCTTTAAAATCTTAGTTTTGGGCTTATTTTCCAAAATGAATGGCATTATAATTTGATAAATTGTTCTCTCTAGTCTGAAAAAAAGCAGTGCGCTATATAAAAAAAAAATTCAACCAACATAAATGTGGAATTTCAATGTGGAATAAGGTCAGAAACACATTAAATCTTAACTCTCATTTTTAATCTTCCCTTGCAATCACAGAATATACTTTATATTTTACCGAAGGCATGTTTTCAGTACTGCTGTAATTATATTTTTTTCTAATTACAAAAGTAACATATTCTTTGAAAAGTGTGCTTTTCCTTCCTCCATCCGTCTACTAAATATGTAGCAAATGTCTATCAGGTGCCATGCTATGCTGGTGGTGGGTGACAGGAAAATAATTTCCCATGGAGTTTGTGCAAGTTAGTAGTAAAAAGGCCACTACAGGGCCTCCCCGGTGGCGCAGCGGTTCAGCGCTGGGTTGTGAAGCTGCCCGCAGCCTCTGCAGCGCCTGTTCAATCCCCAGCCACTGGGTGAGGGTCCCACATGGCGTGCAGACCTCTTCTGCAGCCCACTGCTCCCCTCAGCAGTGTACTTCGGTCCTTCTGCCTGTTCTGCTCCCTGCTCTGGCTCTGGTGAATTCTCTCACCCTCCTGTGCTTCTGACTGTACCCAGTGATTGTATGAATAAATAAATCTTAAAAAAAAAAAAAAGGCCACTACATAAAAAAAAATGCACTTGAGTCATTCTCCAGCATTTCTCTGCAGGGCTGGATGCAGTGACATTACACCCAGCCATTGTTCTGAGACACCACACCTGGCTCGACCATTTATATCCCCAACTTTTGAACTCTTATTCCTTCTCTTACTCCTCAAATGTTCACTTTGCTTTAAAGAATTAACTCTGAGTGTATGCCCCCTGTGAGCCAGGCACCTTCCTTCCACCACGGTGTTAAGAGGCACAGCTGGCTCCACCCAGGTTCAAATCCAGAGAGCCTGACTCTGAAGTCTATGCTCTTCCCACTACACCTCCTGAAGAAGAGGGTCAACAGCAGCAGGTAGGATCACAGAATCTCCTAACCACAGAAAACTTGTGGAGGAAAAATACATTGAGAGAGCAATAGTCATGGGTACTCTGGTCTTTTCCAGTATCATCTTCTAAGACTTTAATTTGTTCTGCCATTAACTGACGCTGAGTTCTTTATCATCAGTATGTATCTTTCTCTTTAACTCCAACCTTAAATGTCCTATTGCACGTCATATAAGTATAATATCATTGTGGCAACAATGTAAAAAAAAGAACGATCTGACTTATTTCTGCCTTTTTAAAAAAAAGATTTATTTTTGCGTAGAACTGGGGTACAGGCCAGAGGTGTGGGGGTGAGAGGATTCACCAGAGAAAGAGTGGGGAACAGAACAGGCAGATTGACTGAAATACACTGCTAAAGGGAACAGCGGGTGATTCAGCAGAGGTCTGCTGCGCCATGTAGGTTGCTCCCTTGTTGGGGATCAAACTCGTGCTGCAGCGGCTGGCAATAGCTTCAAAGATTGTGTTTTAACCCCTTGCTCCACCAGGGAGGCCCTATTTCTGCCTTTTTTCTGGTTTATTTCTCTACTCAATATACCTTAAACTCCTCATCATCACAGAGGCGGGGCATTCTCAGCTCTTTATCCTTTACTCCCAAGCCCTGGAAAGTCTACCTTGGTAATTTAAATATGGAACCAAGGCCCTGTTCCACTTCCACAAGACTGTCCTTTTCTGGTCCTTTTCATCTGACTTCTTAAGTGCCAAGTGGAGTCTGGGCTGGGCTCCCCAGCAGCCCTTTCACAAACCCTTTTATAAAAATTGCTTTCAACCAATACTCAGTCAGAGGTTGTCTCTGTCACATAAGAAGAGTTCACACTTCTAGGCCTTGTGGGTAGGTCCTTTATGAGTCTGCTTTCAGTGTAACTGGCTTTATCTCCAATCTGAAAGCCTCATTCTCAACAAAGCTGATTCCTTCATTGTTCTTGTTCAAAGAATCACCATCTCTGCCCATGTGCTGTGTCTTTTTCATGAATTCTGAATCCCACTCTCCTCCTCTTTCACGGTTTACTGAAATCCAGCCCATTTTCCAAGGGCTAACTAAAACCCTACCTCCTACTCAGTAAAGCCTTCTTATCCCATCTAAATCACCTTCCCCTCTCATTCCAAATGTAATTCCTACAGGTACAAAATTAAGCAGTCAGTTTCATACTGGTCTGTGAAAACACTTCCATTATATTCAAAATTTACAAAAAAACATTTACTTTAGCTTTTTTATGTAAGAATTAGCTTCCAAATTAGATTAGAGTCTACATTTTATGTTTTATCTCAGTGCTCAGGCAATTCTTGCTCATTTGATTGGGTTGACTGCTCTTCACAGACCTGAGGGTGGAGAAAGTGTTCCAGGAAAAGCAGTCTGTAACTGGTCAATTTATAAACTTTAACAGATGATAAAAAACTAAATAAAAAGTAGTTGGTAAGGTAAAACATCTACCCACTCGAAATGATCTGTAACTAATGGATAAAAGAATTAAATTATAGACAAAGTAACAGACGACTTTGTCAGTTTTGAAAAAGATAAGAAATAGCAAAGGAGAAAGGCTGACAGATTACAATCCGCCAAAATTTCTGGGCAAAGAAAACTATGAGATGAGAATAAAGAAGGTACCACATATTAGGAAAAAACAGCACTATCAAATATAAGGGGTCAATAACTATTCTACATTAAGAGCTCTGGCAAATATTTAAGAAAAATGCCAAAGGCCTAAAGATAAATTTGAACAGAAAACTTTGTACCAGGATGAATCATATTGGTGATCAATGAAACGTATAAATTCTTCACTGTAAGTCATCAAAGTTCTAATAAAATTTCAATTGAGTCTATTTTATTGTAGTTATGCTCTAACAAGTAAAAAAATATAAATAAAAATCTATAATGTCACTACATTCATCACATGAATGATTTTTCTAAAAAGATTTATTTATTTATACAAGCACTGGGGTACAAGCCAGAGGTGTGGGAGGGTGAGAGGATTCACCAGAGACAGAGTGGGGAGCAGAACAGGCAGATGTACTGAAATACACTGCTGAGGGGAGCAGTGGGCGAGTTAGGAGAGGTCTGCTGTACCATGTGGGCAGCTCCCTGGCCGGGGATCGTAACTCATGCTTCAGTGGCTGCGGATAGCTTCATAAACTGTGCCTTAACCACTTGTGCCACCAGGGAAGCCCATGAGTGTTATTCTTAACCCAAATAAATTTCATGGCCATGATAAGAGCCCTTTCATGCATAAGTACATGGTGTGTGCCACTATTACAATTATAGATCTGGGGCTTCATGTTTGCCCATCAAACGGTATGTGCCATGTCTACACAGTCTGCACTATTTAGCCCCGCATGTAGTGCTTACATAAACACAGGCCGAATGAATGAAAGAAAAAGGATGAAAGAAGCCAGGCATCTCTTTCTCAACCAGTTCCCTACTACTAAAATGGTGGAAGAAATCTATCATGGAGAGATAATACTTCTATTTTAAAAACTAAATGAAGTAAATATCTAAAAACTGATTTAAATAATTAAAAAAAAGGCTGAAAGCCTAAACAACTAAAGTCAACAATTAAATAGCTCATTATCTCCAAGTTCTTGCTTACCTCGGAATGAAATGCTTCTTAAAATTCAAATTTTCTTTTTTTATCCTTAGTGGAGATGGAAAGCAGCTGATCACTGTTCTGAGATATTTAACATTTGTATCACATAAGGATCTTAATGGAATTTCTTTCTTTCCAGTTTAAACATAATAGACTCTTTTTACTAAATCTTTAATCTTTTTCACTTTTGTTACTATTTAACAGATTATTCTGTACTTACAAATTCCATCACTCAACAACTGTGAGGCTGACAAGATAACCCACTCTAAGAGGGTTTTTATTTTGTAACCTTTACTTCCTGTAACATTTTGGCCATTTTCCCCAACCACAGGATACAGGCAATGTGAATATTTTCCTTTAATTACTAACCATTTTTTAAAAAAAGATTTATTTATTCATGCATACGAGAACCTGGGTACAGGCCAGATGCGCAGGAGAGTGAGAGGATTTACCAGAGATAAAGCGGGGAACAGAACAGGCCAACTGACTAACCATTATGAGGATTAAATAAAATCAGGACAACCCCAAGTGTGTGTATACTAGGTATATTATTTTGGTTTATAATGATCACCTTACATGCATGTTTATCCTTAAAAATTATTAGCCCTAGGATTGTTCAAATAAAAAAAGAAAAAGAAAACAACTCCAAAGTATTTTACCTATAATTTCCCACTAACCAATACCTGATTTCTCTTAATTCTTTGTGGGCAGAGAAGGTTTTGTATTTCTTAAACCTCAAGGCATTTTCTGTCAATAAGTATTGAACAAAAGACTGATTAATAACCAGAGTCAACATGGTATCTGATATTGCAATCGTCTTTCAAATATTAAAATTATAATCAGTCATCTCAGGACTGAATAAGATCTCTTGGTTTTGTCTTGAACTGCCTTCTTCACAAATGAGGAAATGAACGCCCAGAGAGGCTGACTCCATTTTATTAAAACGATTAATTAAAAAAGTATAAAGAGAGTTAGGAGAAATAATTGGCACTCATATTTACTTATTTTCTGTTTCAGTAGTCATTACACCACCCACAAACTGGTTTAAACCACAACTTCTAATTTTTTCATCTTGCTCATTCACACAAACTATTGTCTTGCACTTTTGGAAATAAGGGGAAAAAGATCATTTGAGATATACTAATTATTATTGAGATCAACATACATTTCAAACTGTTGCATTTAAGAATGTTTCTCTAAATAGCTGATTTACCTTTGACTTATTCAACACAAGTCACAGGTGCTGTACTAAGGCCAGGGATGGAAGAATGAATAAGACACCCAAAGCCTTTACCCTTGCAAACTTTAACCTGGTTTAACTTTCCCAGAAATGCCAACAGCTTTGATTCAAGGACTATGTCAAACTACCTTTGAATCCCTAGTACTTAACCCCATACTTGGAATATAGTAGGTTCTGAGGGAAATGTGCATTCTTCTTTCTTTACAAGAAAAGTTCCTTGTGCTGAGTACTTACCGGTGAGAAAATTCCGCAGTCGTCCAAACTGTACTTCATATTGTTGGGGTTCTGCCTGGCAAGGGGCTGCAGACACTATGTTGGCACAACCAGATTCTGATTGGACTATGGAAGAGATACATGAGATGGGGACAGGAAAAACAAAATTATTAACCCAGTATGTGGCAGGATGGTTGGAGAAGGTGTTGAATATGTATCAATGGCAATTGATGTTCCAGTAAACTGTCAGCTTGTTGGAATTCTGGTTGAATAGGATCGACTGATGACGTATGTCTATTTCCTCTCCCTCCTGATATTCAATAAAATGATAGTGAAGGAATGAAAAGGTATAAAGTACAGGATAAATAAGCTAAGAGAGAATAGGTACACAAGTTCACAAGAGACTGATCTGGAAACATCTGACCCTGTTTTGACATTTTATAGTAGTGTCCCCCATAGGGGTTTATTTTCAGTGATTGTGCTGGGTACCTTGTGGCCCCTTTCAATCTGAAAATTCATGTCTTTAAGTTTTGAGAAATTATCTTGAATCATTTTGTTGATTCTCTTCTATTTTCTCTTTTTGGGACTTCAACTATTTCAAGGTTGGATCTCCTGAATGGATCCTTTAATTTTCCCTTGCATATTCCATTTCTACTTTCTGGGAGAGAACTTTCCACCCTCCCATTGCTATCAAGTATTTAAACTTATAAAACTTTCTGTTGTTCTTTGAATGTTCTTTCTTTTAGCATTCTCTTCTTGTTTCAAAGCTAGCAAGGATGGTGTTTTTAAAGTTCTCTTTTCTCTGCTGCTGCAGTCTGCCAAGTTGCTCCTCACTGTTTCTTTCCATCTCTATTTTTTCAAAATAAGTAATTAGTTTCTTCCAGGGTCTGAGAGCACTACACGTCAGCTCATAGCTCAAAGTGAGGCACTACAGAGCTGCTGGAAGCTCCATGTGTTCATCATCCAGGAAGACCTATGTCAATGTCTTTAGGGCTTTTCTCTTGGGCAGGTCAGATTCAGGAGGGAGGAATCTTTTAATCGCCTTCCTGCAGGATATGTGTCCGACTGCCAGTGATCTGGGCAGTGGAAATGGAGGGAAGAAGGCTGGAGTCTCAGTATTTGGTACGTAGACATACACTTAATTTCTACTCTGTGCTTTATGCTTTCTAAAAAGAAAAACAAAATTTCCTTACCCTTTTTGCAGGGGGAAAGAGGACACTGGGAACAGTGGCTGGGGGTGGAGAAATACCAATTTTAACAATAATCAGGATGAAACATGAACACATTTTAGAAGACAGGAGAAAGTCATTGTATCCTACTAGGCCTCAGAGACACAGCTGGAGCAGAAGGACATACTGGGAGGCTGCACAAAGAAGAATGGACTCCTCCCTCATTCATGCTGCCCTCACCTAGAGTTCATTAGTCATCAAGTCCTAAAGATTCCTAAACTATACCATCTCCTCTCTATTCCTATTACCTCTTCCTTAACTCAGGCTGTCCTCACCTTTCACTGGATTTCACTAAGGCCTTCTTAACTTGCGTCCCTGTTTAAATTGGGGCCTTTCCCAGTTAACTCAGCCACCAGAGTGATCTAATAAAGCATTATATCTAAACTAAGACAACTAAGAGGAACAAAGCTCTGGAAGGCTGTAAACTAGTGATGTTCCTATTTTCTATTAATTACAGCACAGAATTGTAGTCCTTAGGGTCTAAAGAAAACAAGGTGGCAGGAGATTATAAATGTATAGTAAAGGCTGTGATAGCTCCAGGCTAGAAGCCAAAGAGGAATAGAGAGACCCAGGCCCTGAGGGTCTCGTAGGATAATAGTTCAGAGAAGAGAAAGGTGCATAAGGCACCAGGCACTGACAAAGCCACTTAGCATTCTGAGGAGGGCCATATGGCAGGAGGTTTAGAAGTGGCTTCCAGGCCAGTCAGTACCACTCGTTTGTTGCTGGCCATGGAGGGGTTGGATGGCCTGCTTTCTCCGGGGCTATGTCCAGAAGAGAAAGATAAGTAACTGCTCATGTGTCCTAACATGACTTCTCCTACTCCCGCTTGTCCCCCAGGAGCAGCCCCCAGTTACCTGCGAGGTTGGCCGCCATCTCCTCAGCAGTCTGTGATAGCCGCAGTCCTTGCTTCAGAGGCCCATCTGAGTCCACGTACTGCCGGCGTTTGAGGTAGCAGGACACTGCCATCTGAATCTGCTCGGTGCGCACTCGTTTCATGACCTGCAGGGGAACCACAGGATGCAGAGCGATAAGGGGGCATGGGGGAGCATCCAAACCAACCAGGACTCGGAGGCACATAAAGTAAGCAGTACTTTGCCACACAACTAGTTAAGGGGCCTAGTTAACATGCAAAACTAAGCTCAATTACTGACCTGGTGCTTGCTTCTATTTTAATATCTATTTTCCCAACAACAATACAGCCGGCTTCAATTATGGAAAATAGGAATATCATAGATAACAAAAACCCCACAGATCACCCCCCTACTCCATTTAATACCACGATTTCAATCCCCCCAGGGAACTACTCATTAGAGATGCTATCAAAGAGCAAACAGGACCAGCTGAATTCCAGGGCCTTTTACTTCTCCTGCCTACTCAGTGAGAGAGGTGTTAATTAGCAGTGAACCAGCCAAAGAAGCAGGCAGGAGGCAGTACAAAATCAAAGACCTGAGAAATTCAGAAACTAGATAAATAAATGTGGGGAAAGTGAGAAGTTAATAATGAGGAAAGGGAAGATTATGTATTTCACTAATAGTAAGGAAAAGGCTGCCAGCACTGAGTCAAAGATTTGAGTGTTTTCATATTAATTATTTTATTTACTGCTTTAACTCTTTACTTGATGCCAGTACAGAAAAGCATCAAAAATGATAACAAGGTAGGCGCATTTGTTAGAAAGTCTCATGAATTCTTATAAGAAAGGAAACAAAAATGGTAGAAAGAGTGTGGAACAGAACAGAATTATTTTTGATAACTCAAACTAATTTGAATTCCTCCCCTCTGCCTCCATTGAGGGCAATTTTCTTTATTATCAATGACAAAAATATCAAGAAACCTGATAGGCCATGGGCCTCAAACATGGCACTGCCAGAAGTAAGGAATACTGCAGTCCACATGACCACTGCCAGTTGCATGAATTTTGCCAATTCACTTGTTATATAAAAATGATTTTCTGGGCCTCCCTCATGGTGCAAGGGGTTAAGCACAGCACTATGAAGCTACCTACAGCCTCTGCAGCATGAGTTTGATCCCTGGCCAGCCTGGCTGCCAGGGAGCTACCCACATGGCGCAAAAGACCTCTCCTGTCTCGCCCGCTGCTCCCCTCAGCAGTGTATTTCAGTCAGTCTGCTTGTTCTGTTCCCTGCTCTGTCTCTGGTGAATCCTCACCCCCTGCACCTCTGGCCTGTATCCTAGTTCTTGTATGCACAAATAAATAAAAATCTTAAAAAAAAAAAATTTTTCTTTTTCAAGGCCAAAATGTGGGGTTAATTGTAGAATGTATGCAAGGTCATCCATACACATGTGACAGTCCACACCTAAGCAATATTCTTTAAATCAAAGGTTTTCCATATTTTGGTGTGGAAGATCTGCTTTCAAAAATTTATTTGCATGTGTTTAAGTTTTCAGTTTCAACTATACACACTGGTCTTTTCCTTTGTGATTTCCTCCATGCTTTTATTTTTTTCTTTTAAGATTTAAAGTCCAGGGCCTCTGGGGGGGACACAGGATTAAGGTCTCAGTGCTATCGAGCTAGCACCAGCCAAAATTCAATCAGTGAAAATTCAATCCCCGGCCAGGGAGCTACCCACATGGTGCATCAGACCTCTCCTGTCTCGGCCGCTGCTCCCTTCAGCAGTGTGTTTCACTAGATCTGCCTGTTCTGCTCCCACTGTCTCTGGTGAATCCTCTCAGCCCCCACACCTCTGGCCTACACCCCAGTTCTTGTATGCATAAATAAATAAATCTTAAAATATATATACCCTGAAGATCTACTTTTCTTTCTTTTTTAAAAAGATTTATTTACTTAGGCATACAAGAACTGAGGTACAGGTGAGAGGTGTGGGAGCTGAGAGGATTCACCAGAGACAGAGTGGGGCGCAGAACAGGCAGACTGACTGAAATACACTGCTGAGGGGAGCAGCTGGCGAGACAGGAGAGGTCTGCTGCACCATGTGGATAGCTCCCTGGCTGTCAGGGGATTGAACTCATGCTGCAGAGGCTGCGGATAGCTACATAATGTTGTGCTTAACTCCTTGTGCCACCAGGGAGGCCGAATTACTTATCAATTCCCTAAAAATCATACATCAGAGCAAACAGTGAAGGTTAGAGACACACACTAAAAAACATATCTACAGGGAAATATCAAATGTTAGAACATCATATATATGTTATGTCAAACCACTGCATATAGAAAGGTTATATTGCCTAAGCATTTCATTTCTAGATTACCAGAGAGTACAAAATATTTGTTAAAAAGGAGGGGCACTGGGTATGATATAGTTGAATTCAGTGATACAATGGAACACATTAAAATGTCCAATACTATTCCATCTTTTCACTGGGAACTTGCCTCATTTGGTTGTGGTGTTATTAATCTTTCACTATATTGATGACTTAGATTATCGGTATCTTTAGCAGTATTAGTTTTTCACTATATTGATGACTTATTTTTTAATTAAGATGTGATTTATTAATATGATGATTCTGATAAGCTGAGAGTGGGGATCCCTGCTCTAAGCATTGCTTTGCTGGTGCTGGTCCTTCAGCTGCCTGGTGATGGGCCTCCAGACACACTCCGCAGGGTCACGTGTGGCCAGGATGGGTGGGCAGCCCCATCTACCTGTGGAGCAGCAACAGAAGGCCAAAGCTGGGTCAGCCCATACCACCACCTACTCAGAGCACCATTATCTCACACTGCCACTGAACTCCAATGCGGTGACGTGACCAAGCTGGACTAACAGCCCTGTACACCATGTGACCCTGACACCATGGCTGGGGTGGGTGCAGCCCACAGGGGGAACAAGCTGAGTTCTGAGCTCAGCCTGCTAGAAGACACCACACTCCTGAACTCCACTGGACATCATCTGCACAAAACAAACTCTACAAGATGGGGCATGGTAGTAGATTTGCCTAATACAGAGGCAAACACAGCAGAATGGGGAGGCAGAAGAGCATGTCCCAGATGAAAGCAAGACAAAACCCAAGAAAAAGACCTTAAGGACATGGGGATAATTAAACATCTGATGAAGAGGTCAAACTAATGGTTATAAAGCTGTCCACTGAGCTTGGGAGACTAGATGAACTAGAGAATTTAAAACAACCCAAACAAAAGTTACAAAGCTGAAGAACAGTAAAATAGAGCTAAAAAAATACAAGAAGGGTCCCACAGCAGATTGAATGGAGCAGGGGAGTGATCCGCAATTTGGAAGACAAAGCAGCAGAATTCATTCAAACAGAGGGGCAAAATGTAAAATAACAAACAAAACACAAAAACATAAAGATATCTTAAGAGGTCTCTGGGACCACATCAAGAGGTTAATGCTCACAATACAGGGGTTCCAGAAGGAGAAGAGAGAATGGGCCAGAAAAATTAATTTGAGGAAACAATAAATGGAAAACTTCCCTCACTGGGGAAGGAAACAGACATCCAGGTATAAGCCCACAGAGTTCCAAATAAGAGGAACCCAATGAGACCCACAACAGCACACACTATAACTAAAAACACAACAGTTGGGGCCTCCCCGGTGGCACAGCAGGTTGAGCAGAGCTGTGAAGATGTCCATAGCCTCTGCAGCACGGGTTCAATTCCCAGCCAGCCAGGGAGATTCCCACATGGCATGGCAGACCTCTTCTGTCTCGCCCGCTGCTCCCCTTGGCAGTCTTTGGTCTGTCTGCCTGTTCTGCTCCCCACTCTGTCTCTGATATATCCTCTCATCCTCCCACACATCTGGCCTGTACCCCAGCCTTTGTATGCATAAATAAATCTTTAAAAAACACAACAATTAAAGAGATAACATTAAAGGCAGCAAGAAAAAACACCACCAACTTTTGTGCAGAAGAGAAGTAAAATGTACAGTGCTGAAAAGAAAAACCCAGAGATTCTGATTCAGTGTGGTATTTAGAGAAAAAAAATGGTAATACATACAGAGACTGTGACATTACTGCCCTTCCGTGGTTTGGACCAAAATCAGGATTCGTCGATCCAACCACTTTCCCACCCCTCACAGCGCTTGCTAAAAAGTTGCTTCTAATCTAACTTCAGAAGCTCTTATTCTCCAAACTCTTCTAAGCAATCTAGTTCCTCATATTGTAGCTGACATCAAAATTTTCCAGATTTCCCACTGCCCATCTCTTGTTGTTATAGGAATGCATGCTTGTATCAGTGCATGCCTCTCAGTTCCAAAGCACATGTGGCAAGAGATCACCTCTGACAGGGGGAAAAAAAACCCAAAAAAAAAAGAACTGTGCAGGGAAAAGACATGGGGAAAGTGACAAAGAGAACAGACCCAGAGCTGACATAGCACCCTAAGGTGGAAAAGTGTATAGGAGGAGGGGATGATGAGGAAAGCTGAAGAGGGGAAAGATATAAAAGTCATGAAAAAACAAATAGAAAGGAGTGAGAACAAACAATAGTAAAAACTGGCCATACTAGGGACTACTAGAAACTAGCCTGTACATACTGATTCTAAATAATGTGCCCAATCTAGCTGTCCCAAGGGGCAGTTTCTCTGCATCTGAACCACCACTCATGACCAGGGACCTTCTCTGAGGGTGGGCATGGAACTAACTGGAGGGCCAAGAGGAAGCCACATTAACTGTTTTATAACTGCATCAATGGAGACACCAGAGACATGAGCCCATCTGTTTAGCTGGATTTGATTCCAATGCAAACTTATTTCAAGTGAAATAATTAACAAAGAGTTCTACAGAGAATTCATTTCTCCCTCAACTGATTCCATAGTACCAACATCTATAAATGGACATATGCACAAACAAAAAAGTTCCCCTGAAATAGTCTTTTAAGAGACGCAGACATTGAGACTAACACTGCAATTTCAAGTTACTTGCTTAGTTTTTTCCACAATGATAAAATCTTTCACATTTAAATTGAGATTGGACAGAATTATATCTTTGTTGAGTTTTCATTTTTCTCATGATTTTTAATTTACATAAAATATCTTAACTTTTATTTATTTATTTTTAAAAGATTGATTTATTTATGC